ATTTCTCAGACCACATTGCTAAAACTGCCCGGTCCTGCAGATTTGCTTTATACAACATTAGGAAGATCCGGCCCTTTCTTTCAGAACAAGCAACACAACTCCTTGTTCAAGCTCTTGTTCTATCCAGGCTGGACTATTGGAAGGTCTTCCAGCCACTTCTATCAAACCTCTATAATGAATCCAAAATGCCGCTGCAAGATTAATCTTTAATGAACCGAAAAGAACACAAAACACATCTGTTCCACCTTTATTTGACCCTCTAACTCTAGCACTTTCTATTCTATTTTAATTCTACTTCATCTATATTTATCTTCTTTTTTTTTTCTTTTTTTTTTAAAACAACAAAAAACAAACACTAGCTTTCTATTGTTCTATTCTATCTACATTTTTTCTTTGTGTGTGTGTTTTGTAAGTCGCTTTGGATAAAAGCGTCTGCTAAATGATTAAATGTAAATGTAAACACAGCTTCATATTTAACTGGCATGCTTGCTTTTCCATAGGATTAAGCGCAACAAAAACAGAAGTTCGTCTGTCAACACTTTACTCCTAAAAGTTTAGACTTTTTGACTGTTTTCCTGCTTTCAATCTGTCATTTAAAAAAAATTCATACAACTAAATGCATTCTCCATAAACTGAGTGATTTTGTGTTTTTAGAAATGGCAGAGAGTGAGAATAAGAATGAAGATCAGTGCATGTATCCTGTAAGTATCATGCATCTCACTGTCTCAAATTTACGTCATTTTTTGTTGCAGCTGGTTTGTTATGCGTTTGAGTCAATGGATGAATAAGTAATCAGTGTTTTCAGTTTTGACGAGGAATGTTGGATTAATGGTTGAGCAGATAGATCCCCCCCTCTTTTTTTTTTTTTTGCAAGGGATAATGCTTTTGTGTTTTTGTGCAAGACTGGAAGTAGCTGAGCAAGCACCGTCCTCTTTGAGTCTCGTTTGAGCTCAACTTCTAAGTCTGAATTAAAAAAATAAACAAAGATTTCAAAGAAACCCCACATGAGCTGTTTTAAAAAAAATCAAATTGTATTGTTCTGTGGAATAAATGTAAATAAATTATAAATTCAAATATAAAAGGGTGTTTTACCCAGAGTTTTTTTATTTTCAAACCAAAACATAGACATGCTTGTGAGTGACTGTTTGTTTGTATATTGGTGTGTATTTCCTCAGGCTATTGGGAGTGAAATTCGTTCCCGCCTGCAGCAGTTTGTGGAGGAGAGGATGCAGACCACCATGGTACAGAAACTCACCAATATGTTCTCTGAAGTAAAGGGATAGTTCACCCAAAAATGAAAATTCTGTCTCACCCTCATGTCGTTCCAAACCCATAAGACCTTCATTCATCTTCAGAACACAAGTTAAGATATTTTTGATTAAATCTGTGAGCTTTCTGACCCTCCATTGACAGCAATGGAACTGACATGGCATGCGTTGTGGTACTCTTGTGAATGGCGGTTTACTGACCCGGAAGTAGGGCTACCCTCTACTAAAGGTTTTTCTGGTCGACTATAGTCGCACGTTTATTAATAAACCATATAAATCATAATAATGAGCCTTTAATTGCCTACATATCCTAATAAGCATTCAAGCTTGCCACAGCGCACCGGCAGATATAATAATTATGAATGTGTCAGGGAAAAAAAAGTAGACTGCATTAACGTTTAAATAATTGCTTTCTTTTTTTTCGACTTAAGAGATGAAGTCGGCGACACTTAACTCGTCATCTCCACAGTAGTGAGGCGCCTTTATGCATGTTTCATATGGATTACATAATCTGAGAATATTTGTATTCTATTTGAATTGTTTCATTTAGAAGTAAACATTTCACTCACTATAGATATATTTTTAATGTCTGTGAAGGCAAGTATACACAGAGTTTCAAAGTGATGTGCTTGGGTTCATAGAGACCGAGACGGCAGAAAGCGCATCCTGTTTGCTTTCATTATTTTACATAAGCGCAACGTTTTATTGTTATTGTGAGTGCACACAAATAAACGTAGAGTCTTTATAGATTCGAAAAATGTATTACTTTTTTCTGTATGACCAAAAATTATGGAGTATTTTAAGAGCAAGTGACCGCATCAGCGCCTCCAACTGTCCTGCAGTGAGCGCTACTGTTCAGCTTCCACACTCCACACAGACTCTTCAATAGCGCACATTTTTCTAGGTTAACATTATATTGAGCGGCCATGTAAAGTTGCTACTACAAACAGTACATCTTTCAGATGAAAAGCCATATTTGAGGTCGATGAATAATGAGTTTTTGGATGTCCTGCCCGTTGTATTACCACATAGACCAGCAGTTAACGATCTGTCCATCACGGACTGCGTGACTTCGCCATGCACTTCGTGTGGAATTTTTTTGTTTCTGCGACTAATAAAATTTCGGTCAACCAAGCCTCGTCTCGTCGACTATTAGGGAGCAGCCCTACCCGGAAGAGAAGAAATGGTTGAATAAAGTCGTTATTTTTGTTTTCTTTGCACACCAGCTTCAACAGCTTCATAAAATTACGGTTGAACCACTGATGTCACATGGACTACTTTAACGATGTCCTTACTACCTTTCTGTGCCTTGACCGTGGTGGTACCCTTGCTGTATATGGAGGATCAGAAAGCTCTCGGACTTCATCAAAAGTATCTTAATTTGTGTTCTGAAGATGAGCGAAAGTCTTACGGGTTTGGAACGACATGAGGGTGAGTAATTAATGACAGAATTTTTGGGTGAAGACCTGTTCACACCAAGAACAATAACTATATAGCGTCCACACCAGCGCATGGTCATGTTCTGTTTATTATAAGCAAATGCTGCAGTTTTGTTGTCTGCCGCTTTAAATGCTCAAGCGCTTTAAAGTCAGGTGGATTCTGATTGGCTGTCAATGTTTTTATCTTTAATCAGTTGTCCTTTTAAATTTAGAACCGTTTTTAAAACCATATTGTTATCGTTCTCAGTGTGAACAACAGGCCTTTACTCTGGAAAGCTGTCTTTTCCCACATTAGTTTCCAGTGCAAGGGGACTGAATCGGGCTCGCTCAGATCAGCTGTGCAGATTATGTAACAAGTTACAGATGTTTAATCATGTTTGGGTTTAACGATACACCCATTTTAATGAGATGATTATTTCTTGCAGCATTTTTGCCAATATTATTTGCTCTGTTACTGAAAACATATTTTGATAAGAGTGAAATCAAAAGTTCAGTAGTAGAGGATATTATTTATCAGTTTTCCTGCAATATCACATAAATTCCCTTATCTTACATTTCTGTGCCTTTTGTCTGTTCAAGCTCACGGGTGTATTGATCGGTGCCGTGGTGGCTATGTGTCTAATAGGAATCTCAGTGCTTTTCCTCTACCACAGATATAAACTGGCAAGTATGTGTCACTTCTGTGCCCAAAACAGATTATTTCACACTGTTATTAGAGTTTAAGTCCAAAGAACTGCATACTTGTTTGAGTATCATGTTGTTTTTACATTGCTGCTCAGGTATGGTCATACCGTAAAAAATGTTGGAAGTCAGTACTTTTTTTTTTTTCACTTTTTTTTTTGATAGATGCTCACCAAGTCTGCATTTGATTTAATCAAAAATACAGTAAAACTGTAATATTGTGGAATATTATAATTTTTTGTTAAAAAACTTTCAATTTTAATATATTGTAAAATAGAATGTATTCCTGTGATGGTAAAGTTGAATTTTCACCAGCCATTACACCAGTCTTTAGTGTCACATGATCTTTCAGAAATCAATGTGCTGATTTAAATGCTAAAATGCTGTTTATTTCTGTATTATATTATTATCAATGTTGAAAATAGTTAAATAATAGTGTTAAATTCTTTACAAAAATCTCACTGACCATTAAACTTTTGAATGTGTATGTCTAGCGTACTACTATTCTTTATTTATTTGCTTGTGTGTGTTTTAAGATCAACAGGCTGGTGTTCCTCGCTATCGCTTCAGAAAAAGAGATAAAGTGCTCTTTTACGGCAGGAAAATCATGAGAAAGGTGGGTCACGTCTCACTGAAATCCATTTGCTTACCTGTGATTTGCACCCTGTTTTAGCTGGTGATTAATAATCACATTCACAGCAGTCTATTTGTGAGTGTTCAGACTCTGACTCTGTAGAGACTTGCTTCAGTATTCATTTATAGGTGTAATTAAACCTGACATCAGCTGAAACTTCAGTCTTCCTCCACTGGAGGGCAGCATAGAGTGTTCTAAGTGGCATATGGCTGTCCTGTATGTGTGGCACCTGTATGACTAACAGCCTGATATTTTTATTTGCTCTCCATCCTCCACTTGATTTTTCTATTTCTATCTTTCAGGTCCAGACCTTGTCCTCGACACCATCCTCCTCTTTGGTGTCTAAGCAGCGCTCTCGGAAGAGGCCTAAAGTTCTTAGTATAGCACGCAGGTATGTTTAGCTTCTCTGTAATTTTTACAGAACATATGGCATCTCGTTTAATCGCCCACACAGTTTAAGTCAGGAGCTGTCTGATCAGTGCTTCTTATTTGACTCCTGCTTTGATGCCCTGTACAACCTGTTTGCACATTCTTCTCTTGTACATTCCTGCTCATCTAAATATTTATTAAGTCTACAGTATACTGTCCTGCGCATTCTATTTTTATTCTTATTTTTTTATCTGACTTTTTCCATACCTATATTTATATATAATTTTCTTGTGTTTGTATTCTTTAATAATTGCACTGTCCATGGAGCGGACCTGACTTACATTTCACTGCTGGTCATATATTCTCTATATAACCATGTATGTGACAAATAAAAAAATCTTGAATGTCATGCAGGATCTTGCGGATCAGGAAGGAGCCGCCCACTTTGCAGCCCAAAGAACCCCCTCCCTCTCTCCTGGAGGCGGATCTCACTGAATTTGACGTGCAGAACTCAAACCTGCCCTCAGAGGTGCTCTACATGCTCAAGAACGTCAGGTGAACAACTCTGACCCTGTGGGTCACATGATCGCAGCTGAACTGCATGCTGATACTTTTTCAGCCTAATGAAATGTCTGGTGTTCATCTAAAGTCGAATGTTGATCCGTTTCAGGGTACTTGGACATTTTGAGAAGCCTTTGTTTTTGGAGCTGTGTCGGCACATGGTGTTTGTGGAGCTGCAGGAGGGAGAAGGGCTGTTCAAGCCCGGGGATGATGACAACAGCATTTATGTGGTTCAGGATGGAAGGCTGGAGCTTTGCATTCATGAGATTGTAAGGATGAGCTTGAGAAAGTGCCTTTAGAAGTAATCCATCATTACAGCCAGTTGTTTAGAGAATGTCAGTTGACTCACTCATCAACCCCATGCACATGACAATTTGCACACTACGCTTTACTACGGGTTACTTATTAGTTAATCTCAGTTACGGCTACATTTAACCCTAGGATAAGAAACGTTTCTTACTTGTAAGTCTGAGGAAGTGAGCACCACTTTTAACTATGAAATATGAAGTCTTTATATTTATGTGTAAATTATATCTAAAATTATACTGAATAATTAGTGTGTGTATATATATATATATATATATATATATATATATATATATATATATATATATATATACATACATACAAATACAGTTGTGCTCATAAGTTTACATACCCCTTGCAAAGTGTGCAAAATGTTAATGAAACAAAATAATAGTGAGCATGTTATTTTTTTATTTAGTACTGTCCTGAATAAGCTATTTCACATAACAGATGTTTACATTTACTCCACAAGACAAAATAATAACTGAATTTATAAAAAGGACCCCATTCAAAAGTTTAATCTTAATCCTGTGTGTCATTTCCTGGATGATCCACGACTGTTTTTATATTTTTTGATAGTTGTTCATGAGTCCCTCGCTGGTCCTGAGCAGTCAATGTTGGAAAGGGTTCAAATATGCAGAAGATGCTAGAAAACCAAAGAATGTGCAGGAGCTGGAGGATTTTTCTGTAGAACAGCAAGCAGTTGAACTGCTCAGGACCAACAAGGGACTCATGAACAACTTTCACACTTCATTTCCAGCGATATCGTTGACTTGATTGCAAAGATACTATTTAAACTGAACTGAGCTGGATGAGACATCACTGAATTGAATGATGAACTGTCTTTAACTGAAAAATGAGTGTTTACGATTGTCATTTTGCATTATTGACGCACTATTTTCCTAATTAATGCTGTTCAGTTGCTTTGACACAATCTGTATTGTTAAAAGCGCTATATAAATAAAGGTGACTTGACTTGACTTGACAAAATATGAAAACAGTCGTGGATCATCCAGGAAATGACACCTAGTATTACGATTTTGAATGGGGTCATTTTTATAAGTTCAGTTATTATTTTGTCTTGTGGAGTATATGTAAACATCTGTTATGTGAAATAGCTTATTCAGGACAGTACTAAATAAAAAATAACATGCAATTTTCATGATCCGTCTTATTTTGTTTAAATTATTAACATTTTGCACATTCTGCAAGGGGTATGTAAACTTATGAGCACAACAGTGTGTATATATGTAACGTTACACAAACATGCCGGTTTGGTAAGCCATAGGTATCTCGGTTTTGACATGACGGTTTGTTATGGTTTCTGTACAGCAGGAGGAAAAAACTAAACTTTTTAAAAAAAAATTTAATTAAACAACGGTTTACTGAACAAATAACTTTTTCTTTAAATAAATTCAATTACAATTAAAATGTTCTTAGGGATAAAGATCTACCTCAGCTTCCGCTCTGAACTATATGGAACCATTTTACATTAAGGTTACAGTTAACAACAGAGCCCAAAATTAAATGACTATTTATTTTTAACTATAATAATAATATAATAATAATCTCAAATTAAAAATCTGTATGCAAACATGTAAATTTCATATAATGCAGTTTTTAAATTAAATTCTAAATGATAAAATTTCTATTTGTTGTTGAAATATAATCTTTTACACAGTGGCTGTCATAACTTGTTTCAAAAAAGATTTATTTAAACATACATTAAATAATCAAGACATTACTAACAGGTAAAGTATATTGCTCAAAAGGCTCTTCACGAGACTTCATTACTCTAGCAAATAACGAGCTGTAGACACCGATGACTTACCTGAGGTAAATGAAATGCTACGTGTCATTTCGTTTATTAGCTGTTTTATTGACGTCTTTGCGCAATTGAAACACTGAGCGATTGCATGAGATGTTCATTCATGTTTATTTACTTATTATATAGAAGTAAAGACTAACGGTCCTTGCACACTGAGTCTGAAATTTTCATATGCATTTTAAAGTTTTTTTTTTCGTGTTCGTCATCCTGTCCTATCAAAATGCTTGCTACGGATGCGAAAACACAGGAAATCGAACCTGATCCGAATTTTTTTATGACGGATGAAAGTTTCGGAGGCAGTGTGTAAACGTGATTGAAACTACGTGAGGTCATATTTATTTTTTAATGTGCGAAAATATCGGACAAGAATGGATTTAGGACTAAGGAGAAAGACTTTAAAAAGGGATGATCGCACTCTGTGTTGCCGTAAGAACTGAGGCTTCTATACAGCGATCTGTTGCGCCACCTCAAAGAACACCAAAACGGCATGTATTGTCTGAATTTCATGAAAAAATTTAATGATTTGTTCAGTACACATGCGTACTGAACCAAAGACATGTACCGTTACACCCCTGTTTAAAAAGGCTGTGAGTGTATCATTTTAAGTGTGAAAAGGCAACTAATAAAATTGTGTTTTGTTGGGTTAAGTATCTTAGTGGTTCTAGATCTGGGCTGCTAATGGAAATGTTATGGGTTCGAACCCCACAGCAGCTGATTTATGAACAGTCACCATCATTTCCTTGATTAACCTCTGGTTACTTCACCTGGTGTGTCCCTGCAATAAATTCTCTGTAGGTCACTTTGAATAAGAATTGTCAGCTAAATGGCAAATGAGTAATTAAACTTAGTGCCCTCCCCTAAATTTGTTATATTATCTTTATGTATGCGTGTCTTTTAGGATGGCACAGAGCCTGTGGTGAAGGACGTGTTGCCCGGGGACAGCGTTCACAGTCTGCTCAGCATTCTAGACATCATTACAGTAAGTTCTCTGTCTGCCTTCCTGACGACTTATCCAGCTCCAGTGCACTGAGATTAATTTTGGATGTTCCCATTTCCTCCAGGGTTATCCTGCTCCCTATAAAACTGTATCTGCTCGTGCGGCGGTCAGGTCTACCATATTGCGTCTGCCTGCCTCAGCTTTCCAGTCAGTGTTTGAGAAATACCCAGAGACGCTAGTGAGAGTCATACAGGTCTGTATCAATGTGACATCTGTCTTACTGAACATCTGTCTCAACCACACTGTAATGGCTCATATTCTACACTTTTTAAAAACATTTTAAATCAGGTTTTTTTTCCTACAAAGTCCACTTTTAAAGTTCACAAAGGTTTTTTTCCCCCGATGTATCTTTAAAGCTCTATTTGAAAGCAAAATACACACCGTAGTTCTTCAGGGCTACCAAGTAACTGAATACTAGGGCTCCCAAAAAAAAAAAAATGGAAAAATTAAGCCAATAATTATTTTCATGTTATGACTAGTAGCCGTTATATGGCCTATATTAAAATTCAGTAGTACTACATATAAATGATTGTTGTTATTATTATTAATATTAGCATTGGTGATAGTAATATTACAATCAAAATTCTATACAATTAAATAAATTAATTAAAACTAAAGAAAACATGAAAAGTTAAAATGGTGGTCAAAGTCATTTTAAATGTTACTTGTCAATTTAGGCATCACAACTTTTATATAATATACAGTATGAAAAATGCATTTTAATATCTAAACATTGCATTTAACAGTATTATTAAATTAGTAGTGGTTTTAACATTTTAACGAGCGTTAGATGACTGAAAAGGTAATCTAAATGTTAAATAGGAGGAAATTAGCACAATTAAACATCCAATATTGCCTGATACAGGTAAATAAAGAATAATATTAATATAATATGTAATGTTGATGGTTACTGATGCAGTTAAAGTGACTATTTTTGTACATTTTACATTCTTCATCAATAGTTTGGCTGTGTAGGGAACATAGTGATGTGAAAAGTTAGACTGTCTACATTGCATATCAAACATCTTTAGTTCAAAAGAGCAAAAAAAGTCCTGTTTTTTTCATGATACGGCTCATTTTACTGCATAGACACTGGCGTATTATTTGTGAGACCGCATACTGTTATTTACAGAAATAAGCATAGTAATTTACATGAATGACAGTGTTAATTTGTGGCTTGTTTCTGTCTGTTTAGATAATCATGGTGCGTCTGCAGAGAGTCACTTTCCTGGCACTTCACAACTACCTGGGACTGACGACCGAGCTTTTCAATCAGGTTGGAGAAAGAGTACATGCGTACATCTCAGCATTATTACTTTTAGGAACACACACACACGCACTCTATCACTTCTAAAATATGTGCTTTCCTCACACACACTCTGTGTTATTTCATGCTACGTTAACCCCCATCGGCATAATCACTTCTGCGCTGGAGCCGTAAAACACAGCTAGATTGAATAACATGGATCATAAGACCACGGCTTTCATTTAAAGGACACCGATTTTAACACCCTGTAGGTAGAAATCTTCCATCAGCCATCATTGCATGTCACAGCACAACCCTACACACACGTAACTCTCCCCTCATAGCGCGGACAGGCTGAGGGAGTTGTTTTCCTTTTGATTCAAGAAAGATTTTTGGCTGTACTGTGAATTTGAGTGCTCTCCCATCGGCTATAAATACAATTTAGTCCCAACAGCAGGCAAGGTTACGTGACAACACAGCATAAACTCAGTGCAGTTCTCTGATTTATCGTTTTGTGATGATCTGCTTACCTGGGTTCTGTTTTTCAAAAAAAGCAAGTGATGAGTTTAAGTGTAAAAATTATTGAGGTTTAATGGTAAATAAGGATGTTGAAAACGTCTCAGGTTACTTATGTAACCATGGTTCCCTGAGTAGGGAACGAGACACTGCGTCCTCTAGAGAGTGAACTGCCTGTCAGAAATCATAGCACGTCAGCTGTCTTAACCGCGGCTTGTGTACTGCATCATCACTGTGTCTGTCACGCGACTCTGTTGCCCTTTCGGGCTTGAACTGATGGTAAAACTAATGACATTATTAACTGTCTTGATATTTACTTCGAAAGCTTGAAGCTCGCGATTATGGTAAGGGGCGTTACATTTCCGACGCGTGCTTGTGGTGTTCGGCCAATCACAATGCACTGGTTCAGCTGGCCAATCAGAGCAGACTGCGCTTGTCAAAGGAGGGGGCTTTGTTGAAAACGAACAAAATTTGTATGGCTTTAGAAGACTTGAAATATAGTGCCAAAGTCATTAAAACCAATTAAATGATACCTTTATATTCTTTTTGGAAACTGTTTGGTCATTTTGGTTTAGGAAATTACAAGTTTCTAAAAAAGTAAATAAATAAATAAAATGAATCAACCTCAACACAAAAATTAAGTGACCCACAAATCATTATTATGAGTAATTAAGAGTCTATGGTTTTTAACTAGTTCGGAGTTGTTTGAGTTGATCTTTCTGGGGAGAAAGACATCATACAGTCAGTGACTGTTACTTTAGACCAGTAAAATTGTTTTATGTGTCCTAGATGCTTGTAAGTGTCTATTCTTAAGATTGTGTTTGTGTAGGAGAGACAAGCAGTGCCGCTGTTTGCGGTCAACAGTGTGCTCACTGAGGGGAGTCCCAGTAGAGTCCCACGCAGACCCCACTTGCAGACACAAACAGAAGACGAGCACCTGCAGGGCTCCGGAGAGAACTTGACAGACTCAGGTTGTTTTTCGTCTATTCTTTTGAGTTTGTTCTTTGCAGTTAATGGAGTCCAAATAGTTCACAAATTGCTCTGAAGTGTGTGTGTGTGTGTGTGTGTGTGTGTATGTATGCATGTATGTGTACACACACACACACACATATACTGTATATATGTATATGTTATATTTAATTTAAAGGAGACATATTATGCCCCTTTTTAAAATATGTAATATAAGTCTCTGGTGTCCCCAGAATGTGTCTGTGAAGTTTCAGCTCAAAATACCCCACAGATCATTTATTATATCATTTGTGAAATGCCTATTTTGAGTGGAAGCAGAAACACGCTGTTTTTCGGGACTGTCTCTTTAAATGCAAACGAGCTGCTGCTCCCCGCCCCCTTTTCCAGAATAGAGCTGCGCCATTACAGCTCGGACCTGCTAAAAATATCTGTTTTGGTTCTGATTATCATGTTTATTGTGCTGAAATCATGCGTTTTAAACCATATGAGTTTAAACTTCTGATATACGGTTTTCTGAGTGCACACATCTGAAGCACAGGAACAGAAAGCAGCTGTTACAGCATGTGAGTACTAAACTAAGTTCTCATTCACACACAACTTTACGTTAAAAACACAAATGAGTTACAAAAACAGTCGGTTATGTCTGTGAAGGTAAACAGCTGGGAAATAAACCGCATGTTTATTTTAGATCTGTGTGGCGGCAGCAATATACAGTAAATAGATAAATTAATCCTGTGCTCTCTTGTCTCCTCTGAGGCTGGGACTCTAAATCGTGTTCTGTGCACGTCTGTGCAGCCAAAGACAGAAGAGTTAGCATGTTTTGCTCAAACTTTCGTCATGGCATTAGAACTGGAACACCGTTGTCGCTTGCGAAAACACAATAACGGCACCGTGGGTGTAAAGTTGCAGATTAAGGGGCGGTAATATTATAATGAGATCCCTTTGCCACGTCACCAAGGGAGCAAAATCAGACGCGCTCGTTTTCTCAGATGCTTGCAGAAAAAGGCTTACCAAAACAAAGTTACTGGGTTAATCTTTTTCAGGTTTCCTTGGTTGGTAGATGCACTGGGGACCTGATTATAGCACTTAAAACCTGGAAAATTTGATTTTCATGATATGTCACCTTTAATTTATTTCAGTAATAAATCCTCCATAAATGTTTCTTGAGCACTAAATCTGCATATTAGAAAAAGTGTAAGCAATTAAGCATTTTTATTTTATATTATATATTTTTTACAATAATATTTCACAATATTACTTACTGTTTTTACTGTGTTTTTGATTAAATAAATGCAGCCTTGGTGAGCATAACACAGACATTCAAATACATTATAAAAACCACACCATCTTACAATCCAAGATGAGAACCCTTTAAAAAAAGACTTTCTCTGAGTAAAAAAAAGAAAAACGTAAACAAAAAACAAAACTTTTCATTTGCAATATTGACTTTATATATGAATATTTTTGCTTCTAGTGTTTTTGTCAGATTTTACTTTCAAAAGTTTTCCTGAAGTCAGAAGGAGCTTTTTTCACAAAATACAGATTTACAGGAATAATGTTTATGGCTGTTTAGAGAGTGATATAAATGTCTCATCACTTAGATGGAGGACAAGCTGGTTCATATGAAAACACGTCCACAGTTGCGCGGAGGTCTCGCTCGGTCTCGATGCCTGTAGAGAGCTCAGGTAACAGAGAACCTACCATCTGTCTATCCACTCTTACTCACTCCACACAGAAATGACACCTCTAGTACTAACGTCTGCAAACTAGATCTGGTTTCTATGTGTTCGTGTGCAGGAGTGGCAGGAAATGACCTGGACATGGCTTATGAACGGGCCCGAGTCACCATAGATGACCCTCCATCCAGTTCTGTCATTCACAAGGTTTTTTTTTCCTCCACCATTTCATCTCTCTCTTATCCTAAAGATCTCTACATATTAAAAAACAAATGATCTTGATGATGTTTTATGTTCTTCAGTCGATTTTGAAGAAGAGTGTGACCATGCAGCACACTCCGTCCGCTGTGATTCACTACACAGACAATGCACCACACTCTGACGTTCCTCCTAGTAAAGTGGGCGCCATTTTCCAGGCCGCCAAGAAGGATCTGCTGGGGATTATTCAGCTGCAGGTCAAAATACATCTCCATTAGTGGGATGAGAGTTCATGGTTTATGTATGTTTGGATTGATTTATGTGTTTGTGTTGAATATTTTTTTTATGGGCTCTGTGTGTCCAGGACCCCACTTTGCTGGAGGGCAGAGTAACGCTCCATCAAGTTAAAGCTGGATCTATTGTAGCTCGCCAAGGAGATCAGGTCAGACATCACACAGAAAATGCATATGAAATGGCTCAAAACCCAGTGAGCTGAATGGCTGTTTGCTGCCTATATTTGTTAACCAAAATAGTGACTGATTTAGGATACTTTGCATTAACATAGGATTACATAAGGATGCATTCAAGAAAAGGTATCTTAGAAGGGGGCATAATATTGTTGCCTAATATGACTTCAACTTTTGCTCCAGGCGACGACCTGTGATGCCCAAAAATGCTGTCTAAACTGGCAGCTCACTAGATTTTAAAACCTAGCCAGTGAGAATAGCTAGACATTTCTAATATGTTACTCTGTCTAAATGATTTGCTTGACTGTGTGTGGGTGTGTGTCCCTCAGGATGTAAGTGTGCAGTTTGTGATCTCGGGCACGTTGCATGTTCACCAGAGGATGATTGACCGAGAGGTGGACACGTGTCTGTTCGTGGCTCACCCAGGAGAGCTGGTGGGTCAGCTGGCCGTATTGACGGGTGAGCCACTTATCTTCTCCGTACGGGCACATCGGGACTGCAGCTTCCTGTCCATCTCGAAAACACACTTCTATGAGTAGGTTTTCAGTCCACATTTCTCTCTCTAATCTGACATAAGACTAATATTGAATAGTTTGGTGTCAATAAGATTTTTTTCAAGTAAATGCTGTTCTATTGAACTTTCTATAAAAAAATTATCCTGAAATAAATGTATTACAGTTTCCATAAAATAGTAAGCAGCACAACCGTTTTCAACTGTGAAAATAATAAGAAATATTTTGAGCCCCAAATTAGCATTTTAAAATGATTTCTGAAGGATCATGTGACACTGAAGACATTGAAGCTGAAAATTCAGCTTTGCAGATTTACAATGATAAACTGCAAATCATATTAAAATAGACAACAGTTATTTAAAATTGTAATAATAAAAAAATCCACCCTTTGTCAGCATAATAGCCTTCTTTGAAACATTTTTTTAAATCTTACTGACCCCAAACTTTTAAATGGTCTGTCTGACTGATATGTAAAATGATCCATTAATTGATATAGCCATAATAGACTGTTATAGAAAATAAAAACTTACAGTCAGATAATTGCTCTATGACTGCTGTATAGAAAGCACAGAAGAAATTTGCAGGAATTTAATCAGAAATTCTTTCTGGCCACAAGTAATAAGTCCTTTATGTCCAATGATTTTCTTTATAATTGGCCAATTTCTGTGCATGTGAAATGAGTATCACCTGCACCAAGATACAGTAGAATAATACATAGAATTTAACTTGTTGACATTGGCAGGCAAATAATGAACATAAACTCACTCTGGTTGCTGGTTTTAATGGTTCTCCAGCTGACATGTTGATTCGCTCCCATATTTACGTGTGTGTTGTCAGGATCATGCGAGCTGAGCCCTCGGTGGTGCTGAATGTGGCTCATACAGTTGTAAGAAGGATGTCACCTTTCGTCAGACAGATTGATTTTGCCCTTGACTGGATGGCTGTGGAGGCGGGCAGAGCTGTCTACAGGTCCACTTCATTTCCTCATATTTACTGGTTACATTTCTTTCACCCTGTTTATTTTCTCTCAACCTTCAACCTCTTTATTAGTATAAATAAGTACTTAGTGTGATACTTGGCCAAATGTAACCTTTTAATTAGCAGGTATTAATTTTGTACTATTTCAGCTGCATACAGTTGCAGAAAATCTTACAATGAAGACCAACTTTTTATTTACTCCCTTGGTCTTGAAATTATACAGTACCATTCAAGAAATTGTAAATGCTTTATTTAGCAAGGATGCATGACATTAATCAAAAGTCACAGTGAAGACGTTTATTATGTTATAAAAGATTTCTATTTCAAATAAATGATGTTCTTTTGAATTTTCTATTCATCAAAAAATCCTGAAAAATATCATGGATTCCACCATAAAAAAAGAAAGTGAATTCTTTCTGAAGGATCATGTGACATTGAAGACTGGAGTAATGGCTGCTAAAAATTCAGCTTTGCCATCACAGTAATAAGTTAGATTTTAAAATATATTAAAGATATAAACCAGTTCTTTTATTGTAATAATATTTTGCAATTCAAGTGCTTTTACTGTATTTTTAATCAAATTAATGCAGCCTTGCTGAATGTAAGAGACTTTCTTTTTTTTTTCTCTTTTTTTTACTTACTGATCTTAAACTTTTGAACAGTAGTGCACATTCGATAAGCACCTATTAGTGTGTCATTTGCATGTCCTCATCGTTTTGGCCGTGTAGTGTATATAATAATATGTCCTTAATAATAGTTTTTGACTCTCCTGAGAGGAACTCTATTGTTATGATATTTTTCTCTCCTCTTTTCCTATGCCTCCTCTGTAAGAGATTTGGACAGAATACAATCTAATAAACTTGGCGATTTCCTTTTCTCTTCTGCCCCTCTGGCTGAAACAGATAAGCTTCCTCAGCATTTCATAAATCTTCTATGATATACGACCTCATCCTTTCTCTCTCTTTTTCTCTCTCAGGCAGGGTGATAAGTCTGACAGTACTTTTATAGTGCTCAGCGGCCGCCTGCGTTCAGTCATCATGAAGGAGGATGGGAAAAAGGAGCTGACTGGAGAGTATGGTAGAGGAGATCTCATTGGAGTGGTGAGCTATTCCACTTGCACAACATATATTGTAATACAATAACTTCTTGTCATAGCAAACTTATTCCTATCTCTCTCCTATTTAGCTCCTTTATTACCATAAAAGCATTTATATTTAATCAAGGTTCTAAAGAGCTGTATTGTCACCAGTCAGCATCCGAGATCAGTTTTCATGATTGTACCTCGAGTTTCATAACCTTTCATAACTTTAGATTTTTCTATGATGACTCAAAGATGAATCAGATATTGTTCCGTGTTACATAATGCTGCATTTGTACTATATAGAAAGTGGCCCTATTGTATGTGCAGCATCTCCTAGAATAGCTTTGGTGACATTTGCAGGCGTTGATGTATTCAGTAAATTTGTGTCACCTAATCAGGTGTGTATCAGAGAAAATAAACTCAGTATCTCCCAGGAGATCCCTCTCTCTCGTCATTCATAATGTTTTATTGTGATTGGCTGATGCCTTTTGCGTCTCTGTGGTGATGTCTATGCTGCTAAGAATACCTGTCCATGTTGATGCCATGGTTACATTGCTGGGAGAACAGTGGTGGTTCATTGTTTATGGACGTGAGTGATGTGAATGAAGGCCTGATTTGTAGATCCAAATTTAGTCTCAATCTACGTCATGGAGTTTTATTGGTGCTGATCTTGTCTTAGTAACATAGCCTAAATATATGTTTAAATAGGGAGATAAATGATAATTCTCTCATTATTAAACCTGTATGATTTTCTTTTTGGTGAATAACAAGTTTCAGTATGTTCCTTGCTGAAAGTAGTTGTATGACTAGGATTTTAAAAATCATATAGTGTTATTTTAGTATTATTTATGTACTATTATTTATTACTATTTATTAATATTTTGAACTAGCTTTTTTTTTTTTTTTTTTCAGTTTTCATTTTTAATTTTCGTTTAAGATTTAGTAATGTTTTTGTGATTTTTTTTTTTTTTTTTATATATATATAGCTTTTGATTTATTTTATTTCAGTTTTAATTTTAGTAATTATACTACTTCAACCAATAGCCAAGGCAACAATTGTTTCAAATTTTTTTTTAGTTTAAGCTTTTCATGTAAAATTTTTTACTTAATTTTCTTTCAGATTTATTACACTTTTATTACAAACAATTTTGTAATAAAAGTAGGGAAGTTCTAAGCGGCCATGCATTATTTTTTTTCCCTTCTTGTTTTCTCGTTATAACGACTTATTTTCTCGTTATATCGACATAACGAGAGTTGTTTTCTCGTTATAACGACTAAATTTTCTCGTTATATAGACATAACGAGAGTTGTTTTCTCGTTATAACGACTTAATTTTCTCGTGATCTCGACATAAAAAAAGTTGTTCTCTAAGTTACAAAACTGCACCAACAGGTGGCACTATTGACCTGAATATAACTGATGGGGTGTTGTAGGCTATGCTGTATGTCCACTTTACTTTGAATCCAAGCAGCTCTAATAGATTTTAGAATAGTTCTGCATCCTGAAGGCGCTCCGCCTGTGTTTGCGGTGTTGCTTTGACCATTTAAACATGCTAATTACACAAACACATGTTTAGTGTACTGTCTCTGGAAATATCAACCGTGATTGATCAGCCTTTATTTTTGTATTGTAGACGTTATTACTAGGCGAAGCAAAATTTGCTGAAATATCCACGACCTAGGCTACAGTAAGAGCGCATGGTTTATCTGTCCATCAGATGCGTGTCAAAGTTGAGTTTGTTACTATAACAACAGTAGATCAAACAATCATTGTACAAAAAAAAAAAAACTTTGTCGATATAACGAGAAAATTAAGTCGTTATAACGAGAAAACAACTCTCGTTATGTCGATATAACAAGAAAATTAAGTCGTTATAATGAGAAAACAACTCTCGTTATGTCGATATAACGAGAAAATTAAGTCGTTATAACGAGAAAACAACTCTCGTTATGTCGATATAACGAGAAAATTAAGTCGTTATAATGAGAAAACAACTCTCGTTATGTCGAGATAACGAGAAAATTAAGTCGTTATAACGAGAAAACAACTCTCGTTATGTCGATATAACGAGAAAATTAAGTCGTTATAACGAGAAAACAACTCTCGTTATGTCGATATAACGAGAAAATTAAGTCGTTATAACGAGAAAACAACTCTCGTTATGTCGATATAACGAGAAAAATAAGTCGTTATAACGAGAAAACAACTCTCGTTATGTCGATATAACGAGAAAACAAGAAGGAAAAGAAAAATAATGCATGGCCGCTTAGAACTTCCGTATAAAAGAGTTTCTATGAACAGTAATTTTATGTTTTTGTTTTTTTATATATAAAGCTTTTAATATATTTTCGTTTCAGTTAGTAATTTTACTACTTCAAACTGAACTATTTATTGTTTAAACTTTGTGTAGTATTTTTACTTATTTTTAGGCAAGTGAAGTTTTTCTGATGTAATTGCTTCAAAGTCAATGAATGCATTGTGTTTTCATGCATTTTTTTGTGTATGTGTGTGTGAATGCAGGTGGAGGCTCTGACACATCAGAACAGAGCAACTACTGTTCATGCTGTTCGGGACTCAGAACTGGCTAAACTACCTGAGGGCGCTCTCAGTTCCATCAAGAGGAAATTCCCACAGGTATGTCAGCCGCATTGCATTTGCTTTATAGCCAGGCACTACAGTGATGAGAGTTTCTCTGGGCTCTCTGTACCTGTATACAGTCAGTTTTGTTCTCTTTATTTGATCTCATTAGGTAGTCACAAGGCTCATTCACCTGCTTGGACAGAAGATCCTCCAGCAAGTTAATGGACCTTTGACAGGTGTGTGTGTGTGTGTGTGTGTGTGTGTAAAACTCTGTGTTCTGTCTTCATCTCCTGCATTAAAGGCCAAGGTTTCTAGATTGACTAATGCATATCAACTGCTTTGTGTCTGTATTTTAACATCCAGCTCGCAGTCTAGCTCTACACACACCCGGCAGTAAATGGGACACGGGGAACCCTGCCTCAAATCTGGCCACCGTCACTGTGCTCCCGGTATCAGAGGAGGTTCCTCTGACTGCGTTCACCCTGGAACTTCAGCATGCGCTGTTAGCTATCGGTGAGGATGCTATATTTATATAGGCGTTGTATCAAAAAGATGAGAAGGTTTACAATTGGAAAGAAGGTTTGAGTCAAATTTATATCTTCCAGGCCCAACTCTTCTCTTGACTAGTGACATCATCAAACAGCGCCTCGGCTCTGCTGCTTTAGACAGGTACGGCATCAAAGTGTCATTAGAAAATAGCTTGCAATGTTTATATGGAATCAAATATTAGTTTATATGAATATGTGGCCTCTCCATCTATCAGAATATGTAAATTCACTGTTAATGCATGCTGATTTTTAGGTAGAGTGTGTTTTGGCTGCCTGAAAAACAATACCGCACATCTTTTTTTATTGTTACACATTAAAGTAGTCGTTTGATGAGCGAGATGAAAGCAGTTTTGTGATATGGAAATGAACAACACAATTAACCCCATAAATTAACAGTCTGCATGAGTCCTGTCCCTCTAACCCAGCATGAGATCTTCCTTCCTCCCTGTTGCTGATGTTTGTTTCTGTTGTGGTTTGAGTTTGGTGTTTTCTGTTTAAGTTTAATTTTAAAAACTTTTACAGTTTAACAGAAATGGATCCACCAAGACAAGGATCCAGCACACATTCATCAGTAGCTTGAGCAGGACTCCAGACAGTAATGCTTACACATTTGCAAAAAATAGGATCTGTATAAAATCTAGTCCTCATTAGAAACTCAGACTTTATAGCAATGTCTTTGTTAAATTTCACATGGTGTTAGATGAAGCAATATTTGTGTTTTAGAGTGCATGTCATTATTACATACACTAACATTCCAAAATTAGGGGTTAGGTTTTTTTTTTGAAGGGAGTCTCTTAAGCTCACTAAAGCTGCATTTATTTAATCAAAAATATTATTACAATTAAAAAAAAAAAAGTTAATGTATATTTAAAATAACAATTGAAAATAACTGTTTCTATTTTATGTTTTTAAATATATTATTTATTAACTTTTTTTGTCATAGCAAAGCTGAATTTTTAGCAGGCATCACTCCAGTCTTCAGTGTCACAAGATCCTTCAGAAATCATTCTAATATGTTGATTTGGTGCTTAAGAAACATTTATAATAATTAATAATTAGCATTATTATTATGAATGTTAAAAACAGCTCAAAAGTTCAGACACACAGGGATACTATCCACTGTAAACACTCCATATGCTTTGAAGAATTTCTCAGTTAACTTGAGGGAACTAGAGTAGATCAGTAAAAACCATCCCGAAAAAAAATCCGGAAAATCAAGGTAATAGTATCTCAAATCAAGGAAATGTTACAATTCTAAGCCATTGGAAAAGTCATTTTAGTACAAAATAAATCTAGAAAATAATGGAAATTTATATCATATATATTTCACATTTGAGTGCATCTACTTAAAATGTTTTGGAAAATCTCTGTCCAGTAGTCACAATTGCTTAAAAGTCATGGATGCGTCATGGACATCCATTGGTCAAAAGGTGTGGAAGCCTGCAGCTCTTCACATTTTCCATAAATTAACAACTAAAGTTATATGAATCCTTGTTTATAAATGGCATAAGTTTAACAATTTTGTTATCTACATTTTTAGATATAGGGAACAAATCAGTTTATTTGCAGATACCATGAGAAGTAGCTGAAAATAGTCTCTCTCTCTGCTCCAGTGTGCATGAATACAGGTTGTCGAGTTGGCTGGGTCAGCAGGAAGACATCCACCGCATAGTCTTATATCAGACAGATGTGTCACTCACCCCATGGACTCAGCGCTGCATCAGACAGGCTGATTGCATCATCATCGTGGGACTGGGAGAGCAGGATCCAGCAGTGGGAGAGGTATGATGTGTTACATCATCACAGAGTGAAAAACGCTTACATGAACTGGTGCTAAACTTCACGAACCAAGATTCAGAGTTGTGGCTACTTCCACTGGAAATAGAAGTCTTCAATATAAAGGCTCTTCCGACTCAAACGAAATGGGTTCGAGGCTTGTAATTTATCATTCGCTCAGGATGGCAGGTACTTTTATAGGTTGAGCCCAAAAAATATTAAGTTGTTTGAACCATAGCACACTGAGCTAAAAATGACCCCTACTCTTCTGTACTGTAAGTCACCGCTGAACTGCTCTGATCACAAGCAGTAATAAACCATGTTGGCGGGACTCCAGTTGAACTGCAGGACTTACTCCGTTCTTTTAGGGAGAGCAGTTTTCGATATCCAGGGGTTTCGACGGTCAGGCCTGTGCATTTGAAGTTGGATCAGAGGTCTGGGGTAGAGCAACATCCCTATTGATCATAAATCCTGTAGGCTTTAATGGGTACGGCCACTATAGCACTGCTCTTTAAATCAGGGACTCAAAGCTCAGATGTTTTAAACAAGTCTGAAATGGGTAATTGTACTCACATGAAAAGAATTGAGAGAGGACATGGGTGTTCTCTTAAACGCACACCGGCCCGTCCCAATCAATAATTATTCTTTAGAACAAAATGACCTTCTGAAAGAAATGGATATATTTCTATTACATTTATGGATTAGGTCTGCATTCAGTGCGTTCCATTAAAGAAAATTATTTTATTATCATAATGCATTTGGACCGAGTGTTGTCTAGTTTTGAAAGGATGATATTCAGACGTCTCTTTGTCTGTCTCTTTGTCTCTCAGTTGGAACGTATGTTAGAGGGGAGTGCGGTGAGAGCGCAGAAACAGCTGGTGTTGTTGCATCGCGAGGACGGCCCTCCTCCAAAAGGAACAGCCGAATGGCTCAACATGCGGAGCTGGATCTCCAGGCACCTTCACCTGTCCTGCCCCCGCAGGGTCTTCTCAAGGAGGAGCCTGCCAAAATTGGTGCAGCACTTAATATTACATCATGGTTTCACTGAAATAACTGTATCACCCCATTTTATTTTATTTATTTCTTACATTTTATACACCATTTCACCGCAGACCCACTTGAGTGAAGAAAAAAATGACTGTCACATTTTAAATTATACATTTGTTCATGTATTGTTCATTTATCCAGTGCATTGTGATTGGCCGAATACCTCAAGCGTGTGACGGAAATGTTACATTATTGTAGGTCCTCTATGCCCCGCCTCTCTCAAACGCTTCGTTGTCTTATCCTTTAAGACAGTCTTAACATAGTGATGAAGCGCATATAACCAGCCCCTGATTTTTGGCATAGTATTGTTGTAAGTTTCTGTGTCATTTGTGTTTACAGAGAGAAATGTATCAGCGTGTGTTCCAGAAATCCGCCGATCGCCACTCTGATTTCTCACGTCTGGCCCGTGTTCTTACGGGCAATGCCATTGCGCTGGTGCTGGGTGGCGGAGGAGCCAGGTATTCACTTTTTACATCTTGTAAAAACCAAAAATAAAACTATGAAAGTGAAGAAAAAACACCTCCACTATTTTGAATGCAGTTCCTCACTCCCACTCTTGTTGACACTACTGTGGCATTTTCCGTTAAAAGCCCTTTACCACCCCCTCTCAGGCTTTGTTTGACCTCTTTCCTCTGTTGCTCTCTTTCTGTCAATTTAATTTTTTCTGACAGCTTCTGTTTGTCTATTCTGTCTTTTTCGTGGTTGGCAGGAGGTGTTTAAAGGTTGGTTGCCGTTTTCTCCCTTCTTTCCTTTGTGTAGTAACATGTGATTTGATTCTGCGTAGTTTTAACTCAGCCCAGTTTCCTTTAGGGTAGAAAACCCTATAGTGCTGTTCAAAAAGAGAACAACACAATGCTAGTTTCAAGTTGTCGATTTAATCAAGCCATATTTAGGCATCGTAATTCTTTTGGACCAATAGAACAGAACAAGAAAGGTTTTGTATTGATTGACCTTGTATCACTGGGTTTATTTGTCCCCTCACTCCCTTCACATCTTCCTTCTTTCAGGGGCTGTTCTCAGGTAGGCATCATTCGAGCATTGAGGGAGGCGGGAATCCCCATTGATCTGGTGGGCGGCAACTCTATCGGATCCATGATGGGCGCACTGTATGCAGAGGACCGCAGTTACAGCAGGATGAAGATCAGAGCCAGAGAGTGGGCAATGGTGAGAAACCACTCTAATGTAAAACACTCAAAATCCTGAGATGAGCCTTGTGCTACTTTAAAATGCAATCTAGTGCTTACCAAAAAATATAAACCAAGCACATGTTTTCTTTTCATTTTTTTCTATTCCCTTTTCGATATTCTTTATCCTTTTTTCCTTTTTATTTATTTTGTATTGTTCTCTGTTCCTTTTTCCATTTCAGATTTCCCCTCCTTTTCTTTTCTTCATTCATATTCTTTTTTTATTTTTTTATTTCTTTTACTTTTATTATTTTTTCCCTATTCTTTTTTTAATTAAATTTTTCATTTTCTTTCCCTTTTCCTATTCTTTATCCTTTTTTCCAGTCTTTTTTCACTCATTTTAATTCAGTTGCTCATTTACTTCACCCATTTCTTTCTTTTCTATTTTCAATTCATTTTCACATTTCCCTTTCTTTTCATCACGTCTTTTTAATTCCTTTTCCTATTCTTTTTTATTTCTTTTCCTTTTTCCTTTTTCCTTTTCCCTTTTCTGTTCCTTTTTCTATTCTTTTTTTATTTTCCTTTCATTTTCATTTCCTTTTTTTTCATATTTTACTATTCAATCACGTCTTTTTAATTCCTTTTCCTATTCTTTTTTATTTCTTTTCCTTTTTCCTTTTTCCTTTTTCCTTTTTCCTTTTTCCTTTTCTGTTCCTTTTTCTATTCTTTTTTTATTTTCCTTTCATTTTCATTTCCTTTTTTTTCATATTTTACTATTCCTTAAATTGGACACAAAAAAGCTAACTTTGTTCCCCTTTCCTCCTCTGCAGGAAATGACATCAGTGTTTAAGAAAGTGCTGGACTTGACCTACCCTGTCACTTCAATGTTTTCCGGTGCTTCATTTAACTCTAGCATTAATGCAGTCTTCAAGGACAAACAGATAGAGGTAGCAAAATGGCTCTTTTTGGCTCAAAAAAATCCTACAGCTACAACCTACAGCCAAATTTAGCAGCTTAAATGTGTTTGGCTTGTTTACAGGATCTCTGGATCCCATATTTCAACATCACCACGGACATCACTGCCTCCACAATGAGAGTGCACACTGATGGTCAGTACTGTCACATACTCCACCTCCATTTATGAGCCTCTGCTTAACCAAGATAAATGTCTGACGTTTCCTGTCCCTCCATCTCAGGGTCCCTGTGGAGGTATGTGCGTTCCAGCATGTCTCTTTCTGGTTACCTGCCACCACTGTGTGATCCAAAAGATGGACACCTGCTCATGGACGGAGGCTACATCAACAACCTGCCAGGTGTTTAGTAGGACATTAGCTCCCCGCAGTAAAACCTCTTTAGCGCCTGACAATCAAATCCCAATATACCATGACAAACACACAATTTCGAAGATGCAAATGTGCTAAAATAATGTAGTCAGTTAACTAATGGTATAAAGTCTGAACCAAGATTATTTGGCTCATTCTGGTCAAGGACCGCCCACTTAGACAGGAAAGATCTGTCTGGAGGAGGGTTCTAAAATAGTTGAAACCCCAATAATAAAACTTTTGTGAAACTTTGAGCCATTTTTGTGTGCAATTTGCATCTGACTTTCAGTGAATAGACTGTGGGCAGACTTGAGTGTGCCATCTATGGCTCAGTCTACTGAGTTTATCAGATCTGAAGAATTGGGTAATTTTGGTCTTTTTGCGATAATGGAGGTTCATTGTTGCTGAGGGTGTTGTCTTCTTTTCCTGTTTCAGCGGATGTGGCACGCTCCATGGGTGCTAAAGTGGTTATTGCTATCGATGTAGGCAGCCAAGATGAAACCAACCTCACCAACTACGGGGACGCCCTTTCTGGCTGGTGGCTGCTATGGAAACGGCTCAACCCACTGGCTGAGAAAGTCAAGGTGAGGGAGACATTAGCCAAGTGTAATGTTTACTTAATTAGTTGTGTTTTCTAAGGCAAGCATCACCATTACTATTGCTCGTACTTGTATCAAAGGTGTGGCCACATTTGCTGTGCATCATACATCACTCCACTATTAACAATAGACAATGGACCTTTTTTTGCCTGCAAAATTTTGCTTATATGACCGCACCTTAAGTGTCAACTTTTAGTGATTATTAAACGTTGACGCAAGACTTGCATCATCAAATGAACTTGTGCAAATGGAGAAGAGTTATGTTATTACTCTAAGCTATTGGATTTATGATTTGTACCCGACAGAACAAAACAGCAAAAATATCCCATAGATTTGCATTAAAAGGGGAACCTGAGCCATACGTAGAATGTTATTAACTAGCAATCACACAGAAAACATTTGTGGCAACCACTTTTGCATGCACAGACTAATTTTCTTCAGAAAATGTTAAAATCTATTCTTTTTTTTTTTTATTATTTCCAGGTGTTGAATATGGCTGAGATCCAGGCCCGGCTGGCTTATGTGTGTTCAGTGAGACAGCTTGAATCTGTTAAGAATAGCGACTACTGTGAATACATCCGACCTCCCATCGACAGATACCGCACACTTGAGTTTGGCAAGTTCGATGAGATCAGCGTGAGTTTTATCTCCTTTGCTTTCTTTTACCTTCTACACTCTAAATAGTCAGTCTTTGTTCTGCGCTTATATTGTTTTTGGTTGGCCTCATGTGTTTGTGTGCGCATATAGGAAGTGGGCTACCAGCATGGGAAGACAGTGTTTGATGTGTGGTGCAGGAGTGGTGTGGTGGAGAAGATGATGAAGGACAGACATCAAGAGGAATTCCACAAAACGCAGAGCAACAATGTGAGCCTGGATCACCTGAAAGAGGCACTATTGAATTGTAATGTGTGTTGAAACCTCACTTAAATTTATTGTTGTTTCTGCAGTTGGTGACCTGTCCAAATGCTTCCTTCACTGATCTGGCTGAGATCGTCTCACGGATTGAGCCAGTCAAACCAGCTCTTGTGGATGGTAAATCAATGTTAAACATTATAAGTTTACCTTTTAAAAGCACATTTGGCAGTTGTTTTCTGGGATTTTTGGCGTAAATTCCCAGCATATTGATCTGTTTTTGGCTTCTGCTTGGATGTCATTTAGTGTTGTGTGATTTGTGTACTAACATCATTAGGCTAATGGGTCGGAAATATCTCCATCTTTCCCACAGATGAATCGGACTATCACACCGACTATGAAGAGGAGATGGCAGAGAGCGCTCTGTCAGACATTGAGCTTTACAACCATTACAGTGAGCACACAGAGGAGGAACTGACCGCAGACACTGTAAGTCTCACATACACATGCAGACTTAAAGGCTTAATGTTAGTGATGGTTTTTTAGTGAAGTCATTTATTTAGAAAAACGTCCACTTTCACTCTGAAGTTACAGTAGAAATGCTACTGTATTTTTAAGACGTCTGTATGTGAACAGGCATAGATCACACAGACCTTGAAATGTAAACATGGTGAACTTGTGTTAATGTATGCATCACAGTGAAGATTTCTAAATGACCTGTTTGGGGTCAGTAAGATTTATTTAATTTTATTTAATTTTGTTTTGTTTTATTTTATTTTATAATACTTTTATTCAGTGAGGACACTTTAAATTGATCAGAAGCGGCAGTAAAAACATATATAATGTTACAGAAGATTTCTGTTGCAAATCAGTTTTTCGATTCATCAAAGAATCCTGAAAAAATGCATTATATTAAGCAGCACAACTGTTTTCAACATGGATAATAAGAAATGTTTCGAGCACCAAATCCGCATATTGGAATGATTTCTGATGGATCATGTGACTCTGAAGACTGGAGTAATGGCTAATATCACAGAAATAAATTACGTAAAATATATTAATAGTGAATTTTTTTTTTAAATTGTAATATTTTACTATTACTGTTTTGCTGTATTTTCATCAAATAAATGCAGCCTTGGTGAGCATAAAATACTTATTTTAAAGACAATAAATTGTACTGACCTCAAACTTTTGAAAGGTTATTTATGTCTACATCAAATGAGAAAAAGCAAAAAAATCTTAGTCCTATAAAAAAAGTCCTAGAAAATCTTAAAACTAAACTGATTGATTGATGCTTATGCCCAGGATGAAGAACTCGAGAGGTCTCGCAGGCAGCGTGTGCGTTCTGACGTGGAAAACCTAGGGCATGTGTCCTCCAAAACATCACAAACCTCCAGTCCCAACAGTCCTCCAACCCTCCACAACCGAAAAGCACAAGGATTGAAACCCCTCCATCCCGACCACTGACCCCAGATATCAGCATGGCAGTGAACAAACACTGGGGTTTGGCTTTCGGTACACATTCCAGTCATACCAAGTACATCCAGGCCTTGAGGAGCAGGAACCAAGTATTTTTCCCATCTCATACAAAAATCCAAAGAAAACCTCTATTGCACTGGAAGTTTAAGATGGACATGCTGGGCCACATGGCATGGGGTTGAAGTAACACCTGGCCTTGCATCTGAGCAGTAACTCAAGACGATCCCAGAGTGTCTGTGAAGTTTCATGCTGACTTTGAACTCTTTTGATTGCCAAGCGTTATCTTTACTCCGTCTTGAATTACCGGTTAGTAATGCAGGACGGCTCACATTTACTCTGACTGCTGTACTCCAGGAGTCATGTGTGCCCGGCGGTAATTTTGACGATGAATTATGGAATTTGGCTGTAAGTCTGTTTTTTCTGCCTAATGGAGACGCTGCCGTATTCAGCCATTGCTCGCTGACAGCTCTGAGCAAAACAGCCTCACGTGAGCACGTGTGATTTAATGCACTCAGACATGTAATGAAGACAAAACACTTCCAAATGAGTTTTGTGAAGTGAGAACTAGGAGGTAATCACACATGATTAACAAACGTCTTATGCATCACATGTGGTGTGCAGCTGCACTAGGTTTAGGGTCAGTCAAGTGTTTCTCTAGTTTAAGGATATTGGATGACCCGTTTATAAGATTTGTAGTATATTCAAATTTTATGTGAAAGAACTTTTTTTTTATGTTGCTTTAATTTTGTAATATGCTGCTTTACCACAGGCATAAATGACATTTTAGAATATAATTTTTTAGGTTTTTGCTGTTTTTTTTGTGATCTGTGCAAAATTAATTTTGATTGTATAGAGGCATTGTTTACAATTTTGATTCACTTAAATACCTCCGAAGAAAAATACTAGACGATTTTGCTACAAAATGCCACAATGTAAATTAAAATTTTTAATAAAAGGCGAGACACTTGAAAATTTGTTGTCCAGGAATTAGAATTACTCTCAGGGGTAAGGGAATAGATTATGAAACTCTTATTAGGCTGAAAAGTGACTGTGCTTTTTTATATTATTAAATACTTTCAGAAAATATTTGACTAATGTTAAAGGGTTAATTCACCCCAAAATGAAATGTCATTAATTACTCATCCTCATGTCGTTCCAAACCCGGAAGACCTTCGTTCATCTTTGGAACACAAATTAAGATATTTTTAATGAAATCTGAGAGCTCCATAGACAGCAACGCAACTGTAATGTTCCCAGCAGGTCCAGAAACGTAGTAAGGACATCTGTAAATTCTTCTCCCCCGAGTTACTGTCTTCCACCATATTTTGGAGAGTATGACAACGCATACGCACGCTTTACCCTAAGCATAAACGGCGCTGATTACGAATATGAATAGTTGATTATAACTAGTTATGGTTAATTATTCATATTTCCCCATGAGCTGATTCGCTACAATTACATTCTTGGGTATTCTCCAAAATGGCGGAAGACGTAGCTCGGGGGAGAAGAATTGTTAAATAAATTGTTAGTTTTGCTTTCTTTGCTCACAAAAAGTATTCTCGTAGCTTTGCAAAACTGAAGTTGAGCCACTGATGTCACATGGACTGTTTTACCGATGTCCTTACTATGTTTCTGGACCTGGGAACATTACAGTTGTGTTGCTGTCTATGCAGGGTCTGAGAGCTCCCCGATTTCTTCAAAAATATCTTAATTTGTGTTCTGAGGATGAACGAAGGTCTTACGGGTTTGGAACGACATGAGGGTGAGTAATTAATGACAACATTTTCATTTTGGGGTGAACTAACCCTTTAAGGATTTCGAAGGGTACAACTGATGGAAACTTAGGCCGCCATGATTCTTTGCGCAGATTCTTTGCATGATGACGGGCACAGGATGATGATGCAGAAGGGCACTTCAAGAAACAGTTGTTTGGTCTCCTACACCCTTCAACACTTCGAAGCTCTCACTCCAGAGCGTAAACCCTTTGAAGGGCATAGGGATGAGCCATTCTGAATGGAACGCAGGGAAATCAGTCTGAATGATTCAATCACAAGTCTGACTGACCTTGTTTTGAGTTGATTCGGTCAAAACAGTTAAAGCCTTGACTACTTTCAATGAATAAAAACTTTAATTGCAGTCTGTCGCATGGCTTCAGAAGACATAAAAAAACTACTTTATTTATATTTTTGGGGTTCTTTTGTGTCTTTTCGAAGCTCGACAGGCCCAGTCTTTATGCACTTACTGTGTATTGAAAAGAGTGGCCTGGATATTCTTCAGAAAGTCACCTTTGTGTTCCACAGAAGAAAGAAAATCTGGAATGACATGAGGGTGAGTGAATACTGACAGATTTTCATTGAACTATTCCACTTTCTATGTGTGCGAATCATCATATTGGTTGATCTAAGTGGGAGTTTCAATAGGTTTGGCGTAGATTAAAGCAAAAAAAGTATGAAAAAACGGAGAACAATGCTGCAATTTTTGGCACTTTCAGAAAAAAATGATTGCGCACAAGGAAAGAAAATCTGGAATGACATGAGGGTGAGTGAATACTGACAGATTTTCATTGAACTATTCCACTTTCTATGTGTGCGAATCATCATATTGGTTGATCTAAGTGGGAGTTTCAATAGGTTTGGCGTAGATTAAAGCAAAAAAAAGTATGAAAAAACGGAGAACAATGCTGCAATTTTTGGCACTTTCAGAAAAAAATGATTGCGCACAAACGGACAAATGTAACACTTTGCAGTACATTTAACTGTAATTTTCTTTCTGCCACTCTGGCATGGCGTTACTGTCTGATGCTCTCTCTCGCTCTTGTTCTCTCAGTCCCTATTCATCTGTCTTTAAAAAGCAATTTGGTTACAACAGGTAAATGGGTCACTGCGCCGCAGAAGTCGGATCTCCCTCCTGCTCTGACGCACATGTACACTCACACACCTACGCTAGGAACAGCAGACCACATGGGAGCACAAACTCTCTTAGAAACAACAAAATCCTCTGGCGTCTGATGACTTTGAGTAGGCAATGTGAAAAGAGCACATGCAATAGCTGGCCACTGTTTCTGAGAGGGGAATGGATTTTTCTGTGTTAACTAATGACCTCTTATTTCCCCAGATAATGAGTCTCCACTGTGAGCGCTAAGCTCACTGCACAGCCCATTTACGCAAAACTATTTAGTTTTGACAATTTTATCTGGGAAATGCACTGTAAAACGTGGTCTGATAGGATGGTCTGACTTTGCCATGCTTTGTAGATTTTTATTCCACGATGTCTGTTATATTGAAATAGTCTCCTATGCGCATCAAGGCTGCATTTAATCAAAAATACAGTAAAAACAGTAATATTGTGAAATATTATTACAATTTAAGTTTTACATTTTAATGTATTTTAAAACTTAATTTATTTCTGTGATTGCAAAACTGAATCTTCAGCAGGCATTACTCCAGTCTTCAGTGTCACATGATCCTTCAGAAGTCTTTCTAAATGCTGATTTGATGCTCAAGAAACATTTCCTATTATTATCATCAGTGTTGCAAACAGCTGTCCTGCTTAATATTTTTGTGGGAAAAGTGATACTTCAGGATTCCTTGCTCAACAGAAAATTCACAAGAACATTTATTCAAAATTATTATTATTTTTTTACTTTCTAAAAGCCTTTACTGTCACTTTTGATCAGTTTTCTGCATCCTTGCTGAATAAAAGTATTCATTTCTTACTGAATTGGGAAAAAAGTTGTGTATAAATGCTTTACATATACAACCTTCAAATTTCGGCCTTTAAGGTTTTGGTCTTGCCAATTGAGTTCTGTGGTAAATGCTTTACTATAAATGTATTTTTGTTTGTTTTTACCAACTGTGGATGAATCAAACCTTTTATATATGGCAGTCGACAGTATCTGTCACATAGAACTTAACATGTTTTGAACCTGGCACCTTGATGAATTTAGGAGCACAGAGAGGAACATTAACCATGCTTAAATGGTGAACCATGGGACAGAAGATCTACTGGTGTTAGTTTAGCCCCCAAGCACACTCATTGAGAACTAAATGAAGAAAAATTGGAAAATAATTTCCGTAGGCTAAAAGAGCAATTTAGGTGAAAATGTGCTGTAATTTTTCTTTTCCCCCTGGCTTCAGGATTATCAAGGAACTCATTTGATTTTGGAGCCAGTGCATCATTGGCTGTTTTCATTTAAAGCTTTGACATGAGTGGAAATGTTTAAATCAATTTTCTTCAGTGTCAATGTTCTTGCTGCAATTTCGAAGTCATTTCTTTTTTGTTCATTTTAGGTCTAACTTGAAGCAATTCACAGTTTGCTTGAAGTGGGTAATGAAATGTCTGACTTTATTTTGTGTGTATATGCAGGTTTTTACTCAGCAGCCTTTGTTTCCTCATGTCTTTAGGTTTCATTCTGATAAATATTCATCAACAAGATGTACCCGTGTTTGTTTACATTTGCATGCATGCGCCCGCATGTGTTTAAACCTTGATTTGTAACCTCTATCAGAAGTGAACAGACTAGGGAATGAAAATCGCCTTGACCTGAATCCTTTCTTCTCTTCACATCCAATTCTCTCAGCAACAGCCTATCACTCAGATCTTTGTGTCAACATCTGCTGGATCAATGGATGCTGCTCAGTACTAAGAGACACGTTTGTCAAATCTGACATAGTTCTGTCATATTAAACAACTGTTTGTCTGAGCATCCCGACCAGCGACAATGTTGACAACCCATGGTATGAGGATAAATTGCTTTAAGATGAATTGTTTTTTTGTAGAATCACCATTGTCATTTAGGATAAATCGCTTGTTGTATTCCTCATTTGTAGGATGCTTTGGATATGTAAATATATGAATCTGAGGCGGGGCTATTGATTCAGGCAACCAATAGAACACAGGGAAGATTTTGATGTGAGAGGACAGCGGATGGACTTTTTAACCTGAGGAAGCATTATTATGGATTATGGATTCAGATTTTGGCCAGAAGTGACGGTTTGAAGTTAATTAAATGCCTTAATGATGGATTTGTTTCTTTTAAACATGCTTTTCATTTCACAAGATATTAATTGATGAACTGGAGTTGTGCTGATTACTTGTGGATTATTGTGTTGTTTTTATTAGCTGTTTGGACTCTCATTCTGACGGCACCCATTCACTGCAGAGGATCCATTGGTGAGCAAGAGATTTAATGCTAAATTTCTCCAAATCTGTTCTGATGGAGAAACAAAATCATCTACATTTTGTATATCTTGAGGGTGAGTAAATTAAGCAAATTTTCATTTTTTGGATGAACTAATCCTTTAACTTCCTTGAAC